CATTGTTGTAATTTACGGTTAGTTGCAACATCGTAAATATTACGACATTTCCGTAATTTATGGTTAGTTGCAACACCGTAAATTCCAGGCTTTAAAGTTGTATTGTTGCAACATGCTGTTGCAACACCGTAATACCGTAATTCCGAATTACGGATACCAACTCTAATCAAGAACATAATGGCCGGAAGACATATCTGCCAGGGAGCGTATTGATTAAAGGACAAATTGTCTGCGGGACATCTTTAAATGATATCATCTAAAATTATGCCCTCTATATAGACACACCCTCGGGATCAGAAAATATCGGTATGACTATAGAAGAGGATTTTTAATGTTTATTATTAACTTCAGCATAACAAGAATCTGCTTTTAAGATGACTAGATTGTATTCCAATTTCAAATTTTAATCTAAATTTTTTAGATGACGCTAATCTTAAAATTTGATTGTTAATTAAAAATTTGAATATATTGATAATGAAAAAACTTAACCAATTAGTAATGAACTGATTGATAAAATTTAATTTTTTCATAAAAAGTGATTCTTATCGTATCAATACAATGAATTAGTTCATTATAGTGAAAGAAACTTAAATTTTTAAATTAGTCAATTAATGGTCTTTGTGCTAAATGTAGTAAATTGATTGTCAAATGTACTGTGGTAACCAAATATTAAAAATTCTTTCACGTCGAATTCCCACGACCCGGATTTAAAATTATTATTTTTATTCCCATCTAATTGATTATAATTTCTAATTTTGTCTCACGTCGTCATTGATTCACGTTTAAGGTTTCATGCAATCGGAGCAAAAACTTTTAAAAATTGGATTTTTTCCCATACCCATCAAAAGAACTTGAATAATGATTAATTCCAAAATGCAAACTCACGGCCTTTGTTTTATGCTTGAACAAAAAGTAAATCCGATCCCTTTACAAAATGTTGTCATTGAGGCCAACAGTAAGTTTACGATAATTCGTAATTTATTATCGTTGAAAGATTTCTAACAATTTGCATATCATTCATTATTTTAGTTGTTGATATGATCGTTGAAAGGTTTGTACGACGTGAATTAGTGATATTAACTAACATGTAAGAACATTAATACCTTAAGGTTTAACTTTCTTACAGTTGCTATAATCCAGACTTATAAGATTGCTGAAAAGAATGCTATTGAAGCCTTTTATAAGTTTCCTATTAATGAAGATATAACTGTTTGCGGATTTGAAGCGGAAATTATGGACGAAGTAAAGGGCTTTGTCAGAGAGGAAAATGAGGATGTCGATCAATACACTGAAGAGGTTAGGGTATTTTCAAAGCTGATTTTTGTATTTATTTTTCCTACGTATGTAAATTAATTAAATGATATCTGACTTGATTAGCAAGGACATGGTGCGAATCCGAATCAAATGAAGTATTTCAATTGGACAAACTGTGGTCATAAGAATTACATACGTTGCAGAACTCAAGCATGATTCCGAGTCTGAAAAAATTCGATTCGTTCTTCCAAACCTTATCGCGATGAGATATGGATCCAATGATGAGAAAATTATTAACGCCGATGCTGTCGTTAATTATTTAGATCTGAAAATTACTTGTCGAATGGCTTCAATTCTTCAACATATTGAATCGCCTTCACATAAATTTCTACCGAAATGAGTATTGATGAAAATCCTAATAGTTTCAAATCACTTTAGATGAACAGATTACTTATTTAGAAGAATACAATCCTGAAACAGAAACGAATTGTGTTATGTTAACTTTGGTTCCGAAATTCACGTTAATACAACCGAGTTAATATTCGTTATCGATAGGTATTGTATACAATTATGAGTTTAAAGAAAAATTGCTTTCTGGTCGGTTAACGAAAAAATTATTTTTCCAAAATAGATCAGGATCAACCTATGAAGAGAGCTGCGCAAGCACTTGAATTATTATTACGACCTCTTCCTGAGGATTGTTACATAATATCGTTTGGATCTCGTTATGACTCTCTTTGTCCAAAAAGTCAACTTTATTCCGAAACGAATTTGTCTAAAGCTCTTAATCTTGCTCAAACGATGACCTCAAATTACGGTGGAACAGAAATTTTCAGGGTATTAAATTGGGCATTTGAAAATTCAAGGAATGATATGCCAACTTCTGTATTTCTTATTACAGACGATGAAGTTCGGAAAGTTGATCAATATACAAGTGAAAATGAAGAAAAGATGAATTATGATTTACGTCTTTTTGCATTAGGAATTATTCATTCCGTTTCACATAATTTAATCGAATCTATTGCTCGTGCTGGTAAAGGATATGCTCAATTTGTAACGAATAATGAGAGAATGGATAAACAGGCTATCGAAATGTTGAAAAACGCGGTAAAATCACCGATCAAAATTACTTGGACTGACGCTAATGTCTCGGAATCAACAGAAAAGGAAGGGTCCGAAGTGGAATCTCCGCCACCAACAATTGAGTAATATCTTTACTGATATTAAGATTAAACAGGCTCCACATTTCATTCCGCCTCTTCGTAATGGTGACCGATTTGTTGTTTATTGCATGTTGGAAAAAAGCATTGAACCATGTAAAGTTATCACTTTAAATGGCTCTATGAAACTTGATATTTCTTTAGAACCTACTACTTTACAAGGTTCGAAGATTCATAAATTAGCGGCAAGGAAACTTATTAAAGATCTCGAGAATAGAGAATCATTTCTTCATAGGCATCCTAAAAATGTTGGTAAACATGTTTCTAGCTAACGAATATGGGGGGGGGGGGGCAATAGAAAAGGGGGAAATCTACAAATTTTGAGTAATTTTAGTTATTAAGCTAGTTTTGTTCACATGACCATGATCAGCAGAGTGAATCAATAAAAAAATTTTTGACAAAAAAGTGGATTTCCCCCTTTTCTACTGACCGCTCCCCATATATTGTTGTTAATCTTGTTAGGACTTTTAACTTAGCTTCAAAGCATACTGGGTAATAGATATTTATATTTTAAAACACAAGTAACTTTTCTTTATTGCTTATAATAATAAATATTTCCGTTTTATAGCTTTATCGCAATTGACAATGAAGTTTTATCTGGAGCTCATATGATTTCACGAAAAAGAGAGGTTCCTCACTCATTCGTAAATTCAGGTACGAAATAAAAATTAAAAATTAAAAAGAAAAAAAAATTTAATACGCTTAATAATAACTTTTTTATATATTTTATAAAGAATCGAAAATCGAAGACTTATTTTAATTTTTGGGATTACAATCATTTGATGGTTTATTCTTACCAACTAAATCAATTTATGATTTTATTATTAAAAAGAGATTATATGATTTCGTTAAATTAAAGCGAGAAATTGAAAAGGAAATCGGGGAGGTTAAAGAAATTGAAGAAATATTAAATACTAGTATTGCGATAGCTTATCTGGAAGTTGCCAAGTTTGAAAATTTTAAGATGAGTGTAAAATGTGCCATGAAAAAGCTGTAAATGCTTTGAAGAAAATTGTGGGAGAAGAGAAAGAAAAAATTATCCTTGAGAAAGCCAAAGAATGGATTAAATTTCGGTCAAATGACAGTGTGGGATGGGTGTGTCGTATAACTAGGTTTATGCCCGTGGCTATCTGCGGCTTATTTATCATTGGCCTTCTTCTCAGGCGAGGCGTTAAACAAGCAACATTCATTACAAGTTTGAAAAATCCCGGAAGAGGCTAAAAATTATGGATGCAGTATTCCAATAATGTCAATATTTTCTTATAATCATTATTTTTATGGTTTGCACGTTTGGAGGCAACATAAATATTCTCTCAGATAATTTCAGACATAAAATGAATGTTCTAATCTATGCTACACTGGGGTATACCCCCTTTTTTATTTTTCATACCTTAAATATCGCTGTAATTATCAAAATTTTTATTTAATAGAAAGATCGATGAAGTTAATTCATTTTTAAAATTATGTAAAATAAACAAGAAATTTATATGCCTCGTAATTTAATATATATATTTATGTTTTTATTTTATTGTGCTTAGCTTTAAATCTGAGTTTATGCATACTTACAAACTTTGAATCGATAGAGTATTCAAATATAAATATATGTATATATTTTTTTTATGTAAATACTTCCGCTATCAAACAAAAAAAATGTTACAAATATAAATTGTACTTATTTAAAATATTAGTCGATTCAATTAAAAACTTTTTAGCCATAATGAAACTATTTAGCCATATCAAAATATTTTGTAGGGGTATGACATTGCATTGTAAAAAAAAAATTAAAATTAAAAATACCTACCCTCTGAAATATTGTTACACAATTCAAAAATTCTTTATTAAATATTTGTAAGTTTATATTTAAACATTTTAATTGATTATAATATATTTTTCTTAAAATTAAAAAATTTAGTCTCATTTTTAAATTAAAATGATCATTTCCAAATTTTTGTGTTAGATTTTTGACTGAGATTTTTAGAGCTCACGAACTTGTATTTAACCTCCGAGGCAAAATGTCAACAGGCATTCAATATCACCCATAACATTTTTTTTATTTTATATCTATTATTACAAATAAAAATTATCTAAAGAAATTTAAGTTTCGACGGGTGACAAATGTTTCAACGGGTAGCAGTACCCATCAAAATCCTTAACATTTCAATCACTCCCTCAAAAATATAATTCCTTTCCGGGTATATTTTAATACATAATTTTGAAAACGTAGATTTATATAATTTAAAGTAACGGCTACCTAATAGACTTTTGCAAAAAAAAGTGAAAATCAAAATAACAAAAAATTAAATTATCATCACGGAATATGCGAACTTTTCTTTGGAATGGTTAAGTAAGCGTAATTATTATTTTTCGGATTTTTTTTATCCTAGCTAGGCAAATTATGTAAAAGAAATTCGAAAAAAAAAATTTTTTTTATTTACTATGGTGGGAAATCATGAATAAATAATAACAATATACTAAACAAAATACCTTAGTATTTGAGTCAATATTTGGAAAATTAGATTTAGACAATCCAATGACAAAAAAAAAAATAAGTAAATTTTTCTCACGAATATCTTATAAACGCTATATAATGTCCACAAAAATGGTGCAAATTAACAAAGTTAAAATTGTAAAACTTAAATTGATTTTTTTAATAAATTTACTCCAAAAAAAAAAAAAATTTAAACGACTCATAAGGGAACCGCTGATGATACTTTTGATAACTTAGTGAATTCCAAATGTCTAATAATATAAGGTGAGATTTTCCGATTTGTCATTATTCCTTTCTTACTTAAATTTGGAGATTTCCGTCAGTTTTTCAAGTATTTTATTTTTTATTCCATTTAAAAATTAAATTAATCCATAAATAGATTGCAATTACCTTTGGTGATTTCCTTTTTGAGGGGGCAATACCCGATCATCCTTTCAATGCTTTCAAAATATTCTAACTTTGGAGCGGTGCGTTAAAGATAATCAATAGTATATGGTTTCAGTATAGATTGTTAAGATCTATTCGAACACGCTCATAGGACCTCATGAAACACCACTTTTTTTATACCAATGCAGTTATTTATGATGTTGCGCCCTACTCCGAACTCCGATTCGTCTGAGGTTCAGATGCTACTGATATAGAAATTATACAAAGAAGACTTGAGGATTGAGGCCTTGCATAAGTCCAAATTTGAAGCCCGTCCCCGGCCCGGGCTATAATTCGTGTAATAAATAAAAAGCACGCCGAAATTTAATAATTTCATAATATTATTTTATTGTAATATATATATTATTTATTTATTTTACAAATGAAAAATTAGTAGATAGCCAAACTTCACCTTTTCTGCTTTTTTTTCTTGACATTTTATTCTTTTTTTGAAAAAATATCTCAATAATGTAACGTGAAAAATTAAAAAAAAACAATCGGTCAACAACAATGTTAAACAAATATACTCAGTAGCTCAATTTTAATTAAATTATAAATTTGCCAGAATTCGGGCTGGTACTTTGTACCCGACCCGTTGCAGGATAGATTCAAAACATACTATACAGTATACCTATCTGCAGTGTTAGTCCACTATGACAATGGTTAAGTCAATCAAAATAAAATAAAAACAAATTGTCGTACCATTTAAAAGTATCATTGTTAAAATAAAAAAATTCGACTCGTAAGAATAATTACTACTTCATTATTTTTTCAAAAAATTTCACATTTTTTAATTATCACGGTATCGGTATCATACAATTGAATATAAGTTGAAATGATCGGCATCAAAATAGTTGTGATTTAAAATCACCTTTATTTTATTTATTTATTTTTTTGGATTATCTTTATATAACAAAAATTAACCTGAAAAAAGATTTCTGCTGAAAAGCGTAAGTTCAAGATTAACGTTTAATTTATTTTTTAAGTTGTATTTTAATTATGCATTATAAATTTAAATGTTCAGGCATCTTAAATTTATTCTTAGTAATAAATGTGCATTTTGATTACTTTAGATGAAACCTAAAAAGTGGATTAAACGTTGTTTTTAAGCAAATACGCGAAGAGTTATTCCGATATATTTCTAATAGAATTGCTCATTTTGGTCAGTCAACGAGATCTTGCTTGCACCTCGAAAATGTAACGCAAAGTATTTCTTCGGTTAACAAGAAACACACTATTTATTAATTCAGAATTTCGCCCTTAATTAAAGATTAACATTATTAGTCCGGAGCGTAGCGTAGGACTGTTAACTACAAGACAGCGTAAACAAGATGTCCGTCTTCCCCCCCCGTTTGAGTCGATGTTTATTGGCACATTTGGTATTACTTTATCACGTGAATTTAAAATGGGCTCTCTCCGGACTTGCAAACGGCCCCCGTTATCTAGTTAACTTCATTATAATTGACATGGTTCTTTCGTAAGTGAAACAATCAATATATAATTTTGAAAAATGAAATGACGATTGGTTAATTTCCTTCTCATTACAGAATTGACCGAAAAAAGTTGATCAGACCCGGTAATATTACTTTGGTTTAACAAAAAAACGACGATCATATTCAATAAACCCTTATATAACTTATTATACTACTTATATAGTTCTTTGATCAGGCCGTAAAAAGATAATTCCCTGAATATTAACTCCGATTTAATAGAAGAAAATAAATAACTTGCGCGACCTTTAAACAATCCCCCTGCATACTAAAATTTTTATTATTATTATTTTTTTTTTTTTCAGAAATTTACGGTTTTTGAAACAGAAAATATTCGTTGACATTGATTTATAATTGGCTGGCGTATATTGAATCAGATCGCAACAAGCCGAAAATGCATTTGAAAATTACATATATTTAACAAATTTGAGAATTAAAGTTCGAGACGAGATCGAGATAATCATTAACGTGATCAAACTTTATTTTTTTACTAAGGTAATATAGCGTGTGATTTCACATGTTTGCATAAACGTTATGCATTATAAATAAAAGCTCTTATAGCATGCGAGCCTTTTCAAATGACTTTTTTTTGACTTTTTTCCCTTATTATTTGTAACAAAAAAAATCAAAAATTCAAACGTTTGAATAGATTCTACATTGCATTCTAAAAAAATGAATAACACACTAAATCATTTTTTAACGAGTTTAAATTATAATATCATTATTCTTCCCAATATTCGTGATGTGCTGAATCTCATTATTCAAGTGCGAAACGGCAGAATAATTCGGAGAATGTCTGGTGTAAAATTAATGAAAAGAAACGTAATACGTGAAGCCAATAGATTACATATTTTTCATCGACTTATAATTAGTCAAGCTACGATTCTTTTATGGAGAGGTTTGACAGTTTCCCAGCGAAATCAATTCACAACTTTTGCAAATCTCGTAAATCACATCAATCCAACCTTTACAGCTCGTAGGCGTACACTACTTTTTTGGATTCATCTAATAACCCAACGACAAGTAACTAATAATGAATATGCGGACATGTTGTATAACGGGTCTAGCTTTCCTTGATGAAAAAATGTTCCGGTTAAATTTCTTGTTCAATATCTCCTATTCCTTTTTCGAAGTTTAATGAGATTTATAGACGTACAATTTTCAAAAACATACACTCAAGTGAAATACATGATTTTTATTCTTTCTTATTGGGGCATTTTCATTTCTTTAAAACTAGTTAGCGTCCAAAGGTAGATCTCGCATTTTTTATAATCTCGATTAATCACAATAAGAAAACTTATTATTCCTTTAAACTAACTACGACTACAAATATGGAAAACCGCACAAACAAAGGATGCGTGCCCATGATGGTTGGCCACCATTACTCCGGATATGAATGAAGACTTACTAAAATATAAATGCTCTCATGCGATTTTATAATTTATAAAAATGCAACATTTTACAGTGACGGTTTTTTTATTTTTATTTTTATTTTTATATTTTTTTTATTACAAATTAGCAAATTTATCATGATTATATTCTTACATTATTAAATTAATTATCAAAATGATATAGATTTACATTAAACGAGTAATGAGTTTTAAAAATTCCTATTTATAGTTTTTAAAATTTTTTTTACAATAATTAAAAAAGAAAACTTATTATTTGGTAATTTAGGGATATAAGAAATATGTCATTACGAAAGTTATATTTGAGAAAATAATTGTAATTAAATGTGTAAAGTAGTTATAATAGAGCGATGTAAGGAATAATTAAAGTAAATGAATTGTAATTTTATAGCATGTGAAACCATAAAAAAGAATAATGCTTATGTTAAACACAAATTAATGATGCGAGATATTAACCACGGAGATATAATTTCGAAACATACCTATCTTAACCTTTTTAAACTTTTTATACATTTTTATAATTTTTGATATGGTTTTTTACCTTTTCTGATAAAATTTTTTAAAATAGTTTTATTTTTACAAATTCTTATGCTGATACTACGTTATGAAAATCTCACGTCAATATTAGAGATCTTGAAACTCCTATACCTCGACTCTGGATATAACGAACCTGCTTATACATAAATCTTATTATACCGAACCATGTGTTACAGAACCGATTTTTTTATAATTGATTACGCTTGGTTATAACGAATTCATATAATAAAACGTTATATACCGCATCCGAACCGAACGTGTATATTAAGCCATATATTTGATAAACCGAACGATCACGTGATTTAAAATTTAGCATACGAGATTGTGTAATTGAAATATGTTAATACTATAAGTTATGTAAACGCGGATAATCTATTTTGCCAACGCAATAATCTTTTTATAAAACTAGTTTAAAACCTAATGTTAGTCTTGCCGACTTTTAATATAATAAATTAATAAATTTTATTGTTACGAAGTGATCACGTGTCTGTATTTTTATTGGTCAATTTTATATACCGAACCAAATTTTCTGGAACGGCATATCCAGAGTCGACTGTAATCTAAAAAATATATAATATTTATATATATATTTTTTTTATTGGCTTTGACTGTATAAAGCATTTGATTTAGCCTAAAAGGATTATGGTTTAGTTAAAATTTTTAGATAGTATATTACTTTCGCCACGATAAGAATAAATTTGGATTGAGAACACAAGATTTTTGACGTTTATATATTAGTCGAACAATTAAGTAAATCTTATTATTTGTTCGTTTATGGTGAATTTTTTAATGTTTAGCATTAATTAACCAAAATCTTTAATATACTTGTGATTATCGACTAATGAATTGCCAAAATCAATGTGATGCATAATTTTGCCTCAATAGACAATGACGGAAATTCTTTAAGGAACATTCCTAAAATACTAAAGTTCGTTGAATCTTTAATTAAGCTAAAAAGGGTTCATACATACATTCTTTTTGAAATTATCAGTGTATGCGATTGCCAATTAAAGAATTATCCGTCATACAGTATATGTTGCTTTCTTTTTGTTAAATAAAACTAAATAAACTTAATTTGGAATAAATGAACATCAATGCAAAGTGTCAATTTTCGATCGATCGAATATTAAAAAAATAAATGTTATTCGTTCAAAAAAAAATAAATTCTTTCCCTAAATGGTATTTCTGGCAAATTTTGTCAGAAATTTTTTTAATTAATCTTAATAGGTAATTAAAAGTCAATTATTTTGTAAAACATCATGAAATTTATTGTAAAAATATTATTTTTGATTATAATAGTTGAATATCCTTCAGCAAAATATTTGGCAAATTTTTTAAAATTCAGTAGTAGTAAATTTTTAATATAAAACATTCTTAACCTATATGAGGGTTTGCTATTAAATCGAGTTACGAACATAGTAAATCATAGGATCCGTAACGTGATTTTAATAGCTTAACTCCCATATTTTGAAAAATTGAAGAGAAGATAAATACATAAAATTTTCATGCATATATTATTTATAAGCAGCACGCTCTTGTTAAATTTAAAAACAATTAAATAAACTGAAAAAAAAAACATTGAAAAGTATAACTTACGTCTTGTGGCCTAAATTTAACTCGGGCTGGCATTTGACCTCTATTTATTAACTATTACTTAAAAAAGGGTAAAGCCGTGTTAGATCACGTGACTCGACAAATATTTGTTAAAACTGTAGTATTTGAAATTTTTTCGGTTTGTGATAACATAATATTTGTCACAGAGACTATCACTTTAATGCCGTAATTCGGGCCAAAAATCTATCAGCCACGTAATCGTATATGGCTATAGATTTACATCATCAAAAAATTCTTGTTCTAAAATACAGTGTAAATAAAAAAAATAGAGAATATGATAAAGTGTGATGATTTTAGAGGCAAAAAATTTCTGATAATGTTAGTTAATATTGGCTATAGATCTTTCTTACATAATTTAAATAATTTATCACTCTATTTTACTTATACTTTTTCAATTTATTATATATTCTAAAAACTTTGAATTTTTAAAGTATAAGAAATCCTATTTGTTACCTTATTTATCATATGAATAATTTTGGCTAAATTCTACAATATCAGTTAAAAAATCATATAAAGATAAACCACTTGTTGAAAATGATGCGCTGTTTCATTTTGAATATCTTTTGGGTCTGTGAAAAGTTCTTTGTCTAGGCTGTTGTTATTTATACATCTATCTAATAGAATAATAATGTGAGATCTTTCTAGTAATGAGTTAAATATAGATTTCTGATCATCAATCATGTTAGCACATTGATGTTTGATGGCTTCATTAATCGTTTTTGTCTTGAAATCAGCTTCGTTAAGTTTAGCAGATACAAAAAGTATTTGCAAAAGTTAATTAATTGTGGCTTGATGATACAAATATTATCAATAGATAGTTGACTTATATCTAAAAGTATTATATCAAATTTTGATGAGAAAATGTATATTTTTTTATAAAAAATAATCCATTAAGGTCAACACAATTCTAGGTGATGCATTTGTTACTTAATTTATAAAGCTTTTATATTAGTTTGATGTATTTATATATCAATCTGAAGATGCGTAGTCTTAGGTCTTGAGTATAATATGAAGTATATTTGTTAGAGATTGTTTTAGTAGCAGCATTGATAATCGATTTTTGTAACAAATTCTAATAAAAATTAAGGTGATGAATAGTACCAAAAGCATTTTAATCATCTTTAAATATATCTTAGTATTAAAAAACTAGTTTTTTTATTATTAATTGTTGTGTAAATAATAGATTGATTATTGTTAATAAAATTATAGCTTAAACTATAACATTATCAGAAATATCATTATCCACTTTGATGACTACTTGATCTATAAGATCAGGGACAAGTATTGCGTAGATAAAGATATGATCAATGGTAGAACAGCCAGTATTAGTTATGTAAGTAGTGAGATTATAGGTTGACTTTTGATTTTTGATTAAATCCAAATTGTTTATTAAATATAAGTCATTGAGTAAATCAAAAAATTCCTTTGAGTTTGTAGAGTTATGTGCTCTTGATAGATCAGCGTTAAAGTCACTAAGAAGAATCACTAAGAATTCCTTATGGTAAGCATTGTTTATAAGATCTAATGTCTTCCTGTAGGTTTTATGATGTAGTTGAATATTCAAGCTAAAAATATAAATGTTAATAATACAATATTTAGTTTTATTTTGAATTAGAAATTAATTGAGTATATGCAATGATAAAAGAATATATGGTAAAATACGTGATCAGCCAAATGTTTCTTTACAAGAAAACCAACTTTAAAGTCCATATTTTGTGAAAAAAGATCTGTATTAAAAAAGGAAACAAATTTATTAGAATATACAGGTTTTAAGAAGTGTATATGAGATGGATTTTTAAAATTCGTTTCTTGTAAAATGATAATGTCTAAGTTATAAAGAATATAAAGATTAAAAAAAATTTATTGTTTATGTAATAAGGTAAAAAAAATGAGTATTATGAGTGGCAATATTAAGGGCAAGAGGCATTGTTTTTGTATTATATGGTTATAAATCATAATTATTTAAAAAATAAATCAGGAGCTAAAACCATTGTAACATCTTCTAAAGTATTAATGGCACTAGGTAAGTTGAGTTTGAGGATTGGAACTTTATGGCTAGGGTGAGTTTTATGATAAACTATGTTTTGAATGCTAGCGACAGCTCAAAGAGTAACATTGAATTTTTCGATAGTAATTTTATGATAAATGTGTAATTCCTCATTTTCTTTGTATAGCAGCATAATATATTTTTCATGTTTAGTCACTTTGAAGTCTGAAGTATTCACTTCAGATTCATATATGATATCAGTATTCATAGTACCTTCTGCTTTATTGGCTTCGTTGATTTCTGCAGCTTTTTTAGAGTAAGGAAAAATATTAAGGTGTTTTTCAACTTCATTGAAATAATGTATTGAGAAGGTAAGTTCATTATGAAATGTGGTCAATATTGCAGTAATAGCATCTAACTTGTTTAAAATCCTTTGTATATCAGTCAACTTATGCGCAGATATTTTGATTAATCTATACAAAGCATCCTTCTCTTCTATCTGTTCAGATCATAATTTACGAGTATAGATCAACTTATTAAGGGATGATTGTTTAGGTTTTGTATTGTTATTAGAAGGAGTTAAACTAGGATTGACCATAGGTTTAGCACCTTTAGTCTTATTTGCAAATAATCTTAGATTATTGAAATCAAATATTGTGTTTTGATCATAAATAAAAGTAATTTTAGGGAGTTACGCAGGTGCTAAATAGTTTTTAAATTATGCTAGCTTGAATCTCTGATATAGGTTTTGAATTTGTCTATTCTTTGGGTTGGATCTTCTTTTTCTGCAATTATGTAAGTCATATTCTGAAATAGAACAGTATGTGTATAAGTTAATATTTGATGCAATCCAGATAAGATTTTGATTATTAAAATTGATCGAATCTCTATTTTTTGTAGCTTTTATATCCTCTTTATTGC